ATACCCATACTCTATCTACTCAAGGGGGACTGTATCTTGGTTGCGCTTCGGGCTTAGCAGGGTATTCTTCAAGAAGCTTTACCTTTCTACCTTATGCAGCAGCTGCATACTAACAAACTAAGAAACACCCCAGATATTCGCTCAGCGGTCCTGCTGAGCTATTCTAGCTATTCTATATACACACACACCGAGGCCGTGGAGAAAACATCCCCCAACCATCCCCAAACCGAGATGGAAGCCAGAAATGGGCCTTGCAACGGATACTGCTCTGTTACAAGGAGCCTGTCAGGAATTCAATGTTATTCCATGGCTGGTGATTAGTTCCATGGTGGGCACTCTTTCCCAGACCTTCTATAGCAGACCTTTAAGGTTCAGAGGTCTTACGGCAATGGTACACGAGCAAACCTACCTTCGTGTAAACTAGCAGCGATGGTTTTCTGCAAGTACCAGGTCGGGCTGAGGAGTGGGTGGGACGGAAGTGCGCGTAGATCCCCCAACCCACACACACACACATGTCCCTAAACCCAAACCGCTTGACTGTGAAGTCCCTAAGCCTGAACTGGGAATTTTAGATGCATTTTCTGTTAGGGACCCTTGTCCTCAAATAAATCCTCAGATGAGTTGTAGTCAAACTCCTTGCTACAGCTCCTTGCAAAACCCAATAATTCAGCCATGTCTGAAATCTATTCGAACAATCCTGGCTTGATTTCTACACAGTAGTTTGCACAAACAAGGCTCAGATGTAGACCCCCATTGCCCTAGACTGCTTTTACTAGGGAGAAGAATGCCAAAATGGCAAGCTACCGTTTGGGGTGTAAGCGTAGAAAGACAATGGAAACTGCCACAAAATGTGGAGAGACTGTACAAGGACTGCTATGGGGATGCATTCCTCCATATCCTACTAACAACCCAGTGAGTAAATCCCAGCAGACTGCTTGCAGGCTCCTGTGTGGTTCTGGGCCGGATTGCAAGGCGGATAGCTGCAGTTCTACAATTCTAGAAAATTGTTTGAAGTACATACATCCCTACTTCTCAATTAGTTCTGAACCCCAAGCCTGTAGCCAGCTCCCAGCTAGTAACACGTGGCCACTCTAGGCATGGTGGCTGCAGGTACCAGGCTTGGGTAAAGCCATGTCTGGGTTGGCACATTGGGAGATGTCCCACGGGCAAGCCTACATCACATGGGGATTTCTTGAGAAAAGCGGGCTCCTAAATACCCTAAGTCTTGACGGAAGCTGCGCAGGTCCAACCAAAGAGTCTGCAGGGACGATTTCGAGACACTCGCAGATGATGTTTATACAGAATCTGAAGGCTTTTTACCTTGAACCCTAAGCCCTAAACCTTAAGCCCAAAACTCTGAACCCTAATTAAATAGTAGCTTCCATTTTCTCTACCATTATCCCTATGAAACCCACATGTATATAGCAGTTTCCATTTTATTTTCCATTATCCCTATATAACCACAATGACCCTTGTGGCTTCCTTTCAGCAAATGCGAAGAAGTTTTCTCGAGGTCTCCGCCTCGTAGCACCTGTAGCACCTGACCCTGACACGGGGGTTTCCCAAAATTAGGGGTACCTGTAATAGAGGGTAATAGAGGTTTATAGGGGTTGTATACAAATGTATAGGGTTTACGGTTTAGGGATTAGGGTTTAGGGTTTCCCAAAACGAGGGGCTCCCTTTTTGGGGGGGAATATCAAGGGTCTGTATTAGGGTCGCCCCTGTTTAGGGAAAACCCTAAGCCCTAAACCCTAGAAGGGTTATACGTTAGGTAGACCCCCCACCCTGTAATAGTGACTATAAGGGATAATAGGGATTACATGAGGGTCCTCTTATATTCCTATTATACCACTATTACAGGGTGGGGGGGTCCTCCTAAGTTATAGGCGAGGTTATCTAGGTGTTCTATGGACATCGACTAAGGCATCTCCATAGGGTTCCCCATTATCAACGCCCGAATACCATACTCCTTGACATAAGGGGTTGAGGGTTTAGGGTTTAGGGTTTAGGGGTTTAGGGTTTAGGGTTTAGGGTTTAGGGTTTAGAAGTTTAGGGTTTAGGGTTTAGGTTGAGGGTTTCGGGTTTTAGGGCTTCCCCCACAGGGACCCGCAATTTTGGAAGCCACTCTCTCTCTGTGCTGAAGCAAGGCTGGCCACAAAATAAAAGCATGCGGGACTCCCGCATCGGGTTCCCCAGTCCGGCCCTCAAGGTTTCCCCCAAAGGGTTTATGGTTTAGGATTTAGGGATTACGGGGATAGAATACTGGATTAGTGAACATTGGTACTGTCTCGGGTTTGGGGTTTAAGGCCTAGGGTTTAGGGATACCACCTCCCAATCTTAGGAGAGTAAAGCCGTAAAAACAGAAAAATGAAATCGAAGCCCGATTTATGACTTACCCTTGGTTAGCTAGGAACGAAGGAATGGGGAATGTGGTTGGATGATCAGGGTGATTTGAGCTATAGTCTAAACTCCTAGTATCCCCCTTAATAAGCCCTGTAGTAATCCCCTATATAATCCCCTATATATCCCCCTTCAAGGAGTTTAGACTATGGTTCATTTAGTACATGTACATGGTTTAGGGTTTAGGGAGCCCTCTGAGCCATATAACGACCACCGTTTTAGGGTTCAGGGTTTAGGATTTAGGGTTTAGGGTTTAGGGCCCCGAGAAACAACTTGTTGATTGAGTTCCCCACGCAAATCTAGCTTGGGGATCCATGATGCCAACTAAAGAAAAACCAAGACCTAGACCGTAGGCCCTACACCACAACCCCCAAACCCCTAAACCCTGAACCCTATAGCGTGGGAGGGTAGCTGGGGAACCCATGAACATTCAAGCAGCACATAGCTTCCTCCATCTAACGCAATCCCGTCATTCCAACATGAAACACCTCACCCCCAAATGAGGGTTTGGGCTTTAGAGAGTAAACACCCCAACCTTAATAGGGTTTATAAGTGGTATACAGCAACAGGAGATGGAAAAGCAAGTGGAAACGACTACAGGGTCTAGGATTCACGGCTTATTTCCGATACTAAAAATCCTGGATGGCACCAAAGACCTGATACCTTGGCCATTATTACATTGGGTAATATTGGGGTCATATTCGGGTTGTAATGGAAAAGAAACTGGAAACTATAGGGATTATAGGGTATATATTGGGGTAATAACAATGATACTAGAGTATGATAGGATCATGCAAGATTTTAATATCAATCATATCATAATATATTAAATGAACCCTAGTGAGAGACCTCTTATATTGACGGACGTGTTTAATATCAAGGTTGGGGGTTGTTTAATGTATGAAGGGATTCTCTCTGCCAGAGGTGCTTCGTGAATTCCTGCTCACGATTAACGTAGATACCTCTCGATCACCTTGACCGGCGCCTGAGTGGAGGCAAAGTCTGTGTGGTTCATCGGTGTAATCCCGTGATTAATAAACCCCCTCCTTTGAAGGGCCTTAGTATTAGCATGCCTACTATAATCCCTATTAAGGGGAGGGGGTTATTGATCAAAGGTCTACATTGACCCTCAACCCTCAACCTTGAACCCTAAACCCTTAACCCAAACCGCGTGGCTGGATCTTGTGGGCACGGTTCAAGTCCAAATCAAATCAGCAGAGCAGATTTGGCTGCGCGGCTGACCCCGCCCCAACCTCTAATTTTAATACATTTTCGGATTGATCATGCTCATGTTCGTACACAAAACGCCATTTTTAAGCGCATTCGTGTTTTGGGGTGTGTCTTCTACATGTCTACATAACATGACGCGGAGAAATTTCAGTTTTCCTGTTCAAAAACTTGAATACTTTTAGCCTCGATTTATGCTACGGAGAGTGGGTTTAGCCTTTAGGCTACACTACTTCGTGCGCGCAAGAACAGGCCAATGAAAATTGTTCAGATTTCAGATTGCTACATTGACCTTTCGGCTTCACGTTGCGAGTCATGTTCACTGTCCGGTGCTTCTGACCTTAGTCCCCCTTAAGTAGATAGAATATGGGGTATATGGGGATCTTATTATAATATACCCCAAAGCCATATTCCATCTACTTAAGGGGGACTATATGTCTCCAATCACACTCACAGCCCGAGCTTGCCAGCTTTCTACCATGCCCAAAAGCAGAAAGCGCTCGTCCAAGCACTCCTGGCAAAAGGCCAATGGAAAGCTGTAACCGAAAGAAACGTGGTGAAGATGTCAAGAGGTGCTTGCGATCCCAGAGCGTCCATGCTGGCTAAGATGATAACGCTCATGGTACTAGAACATCCACTACTCAGAGCATCCGTGCTGACAAAGGGATGTACGGTTTAGTGTAGATATTAAAATTCCTGCATGACCCTAGATACCTTATGCCTTGGGAACTATGGTATTATCGTATAACAAAATCATGCATGATTCGTCACATTCACTCTTAGGAACATACACCCATCCACCTACCATAGCTTGCAACCCACAGAAGACCTCCGGAAGGATTTCTGACATTCTCTGCACGGAGTCCATGCAAGCCCCGGGAGTAAAGGAAATAAAATCCCGACATGATCTCCATGCAAGCATAGACATGAAGCACTGAAAATCATAGCCCTAAAAAGCCCAGTCCTATGCCATAAATACCTTAAATATCCTAAACACCTTAACCCCAAAATACTCTAGATATACCCCAGATACCCTTACTACCCTAAGCCCAAACAACGCACACCCTCAACTCTAAACACCCCGTAACCCAAACCCTCAGGCCTCGCAACACCCCAAACACGCTACACATCGTAAACCCTCAATACCTATGCCTCATACAGCCTGCACTCTAAATCCTAAGCACGCTCAACCCTGTAAATACCTTTAAAACCTAATCGCCCGAAATACTTTAAACCCTCAACAAGTTTGAAGATCTTTGCAAACTTGCAGCACAGCACTCAGGGGCATCTCTTCCTGGCAAATAATCCATGCATGATTCCCATAAAACCTGATGTAGTCCTTGTACAGTCCTACCATCAATCAGAGGAGGTGCCAGTAGAACGTAGAACCACACGCAGGAGACGGGCACCAGAAAGTGCAAGTTTTCCTGCAAATGCCCAAAGAGGTAGTCTCTTCTTCTTCTCCTCCCTCAAACTGACATATGAAACCTGAAATAAGCCCTTTGCAAAAGGATTATTATCCCTAAACCCTAAACCCTATGTATCCCTGTAGCACCCCTAAACCCCCCCTATTAAAGGTACCCCTCATTTTGAAACAAGGGGAGGGGTATGTTCCACCCACCCCAAAGCTGAAAACGGTAGTTTCCAACAAACACAGGACCCCAATATAGACCCCAAAATTTTGTATCATCCTTATTATAGGGACCCCAAAAAGGTACCCCTGATTTTGGGAACCCTAGACCACCAAACCCTAATCCCTGACCCGAAACCCTGAACTCTTAAACCCTAAACCTAGAAACCCGTATGAACGGCACCCCCTAATTTTGGGCAACTCCCATACATCTCGGAGTTGCCTTTGCCTGCAACCACGCAGTGGAGCTGCAGGAAATGGGGTTCTCAAAGCCAGAGAGGGTTTAGCGTTGGCTTAGGGACAAAGAGTCACACCATTTTACAAAAACATCGGGGGGATCCGGAAACGACTTCGCAAACTGTCAAGATGAACACCAAGAACCCTTAAAGTGGAGCCATTTGGGCTTGACGTCAGACTGCTACCCCTACAGCATATTCCTTAGTCCAAACTTCGGTTTCTCATCCCGAAATATCTGCTCGCAAAATGTGCTGCTCCAAGATGGCCGCAGCCCACCTCCCCACGGAGCCCAACAGCATATGATCAAGGGCTATAGGCGTCATAAGGACGTTATAGGGATATTTAGGCGTTACAAATAAAACTATGTATGTGTTTCGGGATTAGGGTTAGGGATTAAGGCTTCTGGTTTAGCCTTCCCAGAGACCCCAACGTACCTTAATTCAGGAATTTGCACAGTACAATTGTAGGCATTTGGGCTATCCTCAAAATCATGGGCCCCTTTTGG